GCCAGCTCTCCCTCGGTCGCTTCCCTTAGAGCCAAATCAATATTCATCAACAATCTGCCCCCCACCCCCGGGAGCCCCTGGCTTCACAGAGGGCCTCTGTGTCATCGCGCTGCCCAAGTCATTCATTAACCACTGAGCCCAGCAGCCCGCGGGGCCACGGACGGGCTCACGGAGGCCAGCCCACCACCGAGGTATTTGCAAAGGTCATTAATGAACTAATCTGATTTAACTTTTCAAAACAGAGGCCTGGGTCACTGGGTTCCCAGCATTGTGAGTGAGACTCAGTGGGGAGAGAAGCCTGTGACCTTCACTGAAGAGGAGAAAATGCAAAGGTGTGTGTGAGGAGCTGAGGACTCAGATACCAGACAGTCACTACCCCTAAATCCAGGGGGGCCTGGCGTGAAAGGTGGGAAGACCCAGGGCTGTCCTAGGGATTATCCTCAAGAGCCTTTAGACTCCTCATTTAGTTTGCTCCCTTCTTTCCCTCTGCTGGTGGGAGAGCAGGAATCTCAAACCCAGGACCCCTGCACACCCTACCTTATTCTGACCCAGCCCAGCAGAGCGGGTAAGTGCCCAAGCCGCAGAGTTCCAAGTCCAGCTTGGCAAGCCTCGCGATCTCGAGCAAGTCCTTTCATGTCTTTGAACCTCAGTTGGCTTATCAGTGAAGCAGAAATAATAATAGCACTGCCTAGGGTTTCTTTGAGAATTAAAGCAGCCAGTGAAAGTAAAAAGTGTTTTAGTACAGGATCGGGTGCACTGTAAGCACTCCAAAAATATAAGTTAAAAAATGTAGCTGCCATTTTTTGTGGCTGGGAAACTTGGAGGAGCCCAGCTGTAGAGGAGGGGACACAGGTGTGAACTCCAGTCCTGCCACCAGTGGCCTCTGTGATCTTACTTACCTAGGCAGGTGTCTGTGTTTGTGTGCACACGCGTGTGTGGTTCAAGTGTAATGATGACACAGATTGACCTGCATGTTGGTTGCTTCTCGCCCCAGCCCAGGAGGCCAGTGAGGTATTGGCTGCCTCACCCATTTTGCAGATGAGAAGCCAGAGGCTCAGGCATCAAGTACATGTTCAGAGTCACACAGTTTTGGGTGGGAGAGGGAAAACGTGAACACAGACCTGCTGGCTTCCAGGCAGCATGTGCACACCCGTGGAGCAGTGCAAAGCAGAGGCGCACACAGAAAGGCTTGGTCCTCATTCTGCCCGGGGGCCCCTGCAGTCTCCTCCCTTGAGCACTTGGTGGCCCCAGGCAGCTTGCTTTACGGCCCTGCCCCGGTCGGTCTCTTCCTCAGAAAGTGAGGTGTGTCAGGCCCTCCAGACTGTATTCCTAACACCCAGAACCTTCCTCTCCTGGGCCTCATTTCCTTATGTCTTGTCTCTGCTCCCCAGGGTGAAAGCTGGTGAACTCTTCTTAATCATTAGGCCTGGTTTGGGTCCTCTTTCTACCCAGATGGTACATGGGCTATACTCTCAAGCTTTGCCAACACTCGAATCCTGTGTGTCCTTGCAAACTTCTCATGTTTACCAGTTTTTCTTTTTCCCCCCCGAGAGTCTGAACCAAGTCATGTCACCCAACTAATGGTTTCCCTTTGCAGGACAAAAACCAAACCACGCCAAACCAAAATAAAACAAACAAAAACAAAAAAAGGAACCCAGAGCTGAAAAATATACTGGTTCTGCTGCCCTCTGGCGTTTGGTTGGGAAACAGCCAACGTGCCCAGCTTCCAACTGTGGAGTGAGAACCCTATTTCTTTGGTTGAGAGAACAGAAAATGGTAGAGGCAATGAAATTTCGGAACCAAACAAATGTAGTGACTATACTTTCATAAACAAGCGAGGTTGGCACACTGATTGAACTGGAACTATATTTTCTTTTTTAATATCATTTATTTAATTATTGTACAAGTACAGTTTTCTGTCTTTTACTCCCATCCCAGCCCCCCCCCCCCCAGTGCTCCCCACCTCCCTCCCATCCCCCCCCCTTAGTTTTTGTCCATGTGTCCTTTATGGAACTATATTTTCATGTGTCTTCGCCAGGCTCAGCCCTTCACGGGCATTCCGCAGGTCTCAGAATATGAAAGCCCAAAGGGATTGCAGCAAAAGTGAATCCAGCACTCCACATTGTGTGGAGAGGTAAACTGAGGCCCGAGATGGGTAAGCCTGTTAATCTTGCTGGACTCGAGAAGAAGGGAAAGCGTGGGTGGAAGTTTGGGCGAGGAAGTGGGCAGCCAGGTTCCAGGCTCGGCAGGCGGAGCGTGGGGCCGAGTCATCTAGCAGCTGGCCCCCAGGAGGCTGTGGAGAGACTACTCTCTCTGTCACTCAGTCCATCTGTAAAGCGGTGATAATAATGTCACTTGCAGCACGGGGCTGCTATGTGGACCGGGTGGTGCAGTGCATGGAAGGGTTCGGGACCGTGCCGGCTCGCAGCCCACGGCGTACAAGCAATAGCCTGACCTACCAACACCACGTCTGTTCCTATTACTGGTATCATAGGGAGCCGGTCCGGGGAAGTGGGCTGGGCTTCAGGGGCCTGGAAACCTCCGGGCCGGAAGCTGCAGAGCCGGCCAGGCAGTCTGGCCCCAGCGCCAGCCGCCCCGGGGCCCACGTGCTCTGCTCCATCCGGAAAGTGGTGGGGCCGATTCTCAATCAAGACCGGAGAGCAGAGTCAGCCAGGCCTGCGTTAGAACCCTGACTCTGCTGTTTTCTGGCAGTGTGTGCGCGCGTTTGCCACTCAACCTCTCTGTGCCTTAGTTTCTTCATTTGTAATATGGGGAGACCAATAGCACCCACCTCATAGAATAGTTAGAACAGCACTCAGTATTAGTTTTTATTACTCACATAGACAGTAGAGAGCTTAGCACCTCAGACCTATGGAAACAAAGCTCTAAATGAACTTTTATTTTTTTGTTATTAAAAAATGAATCTTTATTAATGTTGTCGAAGTAACCATCTTGTTTTGGAGGCTGGTTGTTGCCTGATGCTCCCCTCTAGATCATAGATGACATTTCCCATATATGGCCACTAGATGGCACACATGTTCTTTCCTGCCCCACCTGAGCCTTTGAGCCAGAATCAGAAATAACCTGCCAGTGACAGAGAGATACCTTTTATGGGCCAGACACTGGGCTGTGCCCTTTATCTAAAGTCTCATTTGTTCCTCACAGCAATTCACATATTTAAAGAGACATTTCACCTAAAATGCTAAGCTTAGTGCCAGGCACATGGTAAGGCCTCCAAAAATGTTTGCTGTTCTTCCTATTGTTGTTGCTATTATTCCTGTTTTTCCCGTGAGAACTGAGGTACGGAGAGGAGAAGGAGCCTGGATTCAAAGCCACACCTGGTTGACTGCAAGTTCAGCATCTTTTCCCCTAAATCCTTTTTTTTTTTTTTTTTTCAGGAAAATGAGGGGTGCTGTGGGCTCACTTCACATGCCCACCCCCCATGTCTACTTTCGCTCTCTGATATTTTCTGAATCTGTCCCTTTCTTACTTCCTGTGTGATCTTAAAAGTTATTTAGGCTTTCAGAACCTCAGTTCCTCATCTCTATAAGCAGAGTCATAATACTTTCCTGATTTGGGGGATACTTCAGAAATGGCAACTAAACCAGAGCTGACACTGTGCATGGTGGTTAGTTATTAATGCCTTACATGTTAACATGACCAGACTTCCTTCCTCCCCTTTTTCTTCCTTCCTTCCTTCCTTCCTTCCTTCCTTCCTTCCTTCCTTCCTTCCTTCCTTCCTTTTTTCTTTTCTCCTTCCCTCCTTTCCTCCTTCTATGCACCTGGAACTACTGTGCACTTGTGGCCCCTGACCTGGGGGACCTTACAGTCCAAAATGTTTTAGTCTCTGTTCATTCCTGGGACAATTCCCCCCCAGGGTATTTTCTTTCCTGTAGGTCACAGGCATTTGGAGGCCACCACCTGCTCTCCCCTGCAAGGGGCCCAATATTTGTAGGCCACACACCTCAGACCCCATCTTGTCCCTTGCTGCACTGCTTCAAAAGCCCCCAAGTCCACTGATTCTTTGGGTTCTTCTGGGCACCTGCTACCTGACTCCACTCGCTTCACCAGTGGCTTTCAAGTTGGTTTTGGCATCAAAAGATTCTACCAGGAGGCCTGGGGGCCTTTGGGGGGAGACACACAGTGGAAAGAGGGGGTCGCTTGGGCTCATCCTTGCTGACAATAGAACAACTCTGGTTTTTATCTGATTTATATTCTGGGGTTACCTGTAATATTTTGCTGCTAAAAAAACCATAAAAAATGACTCCACCCTCCCATGACAGGTGGGAGGGAGATGAATTTTTGGATAATTCAGAGAAAATCTCCAGGAAAGAGAATACGTATGAGAATGTGTTTTAAAATTTGTTTCCAAGGTGCTAAGTGAAATAAAGCCAGAGACAGACAAATACTGCATGGTATCACTTATGTATGGACCCTGAAAAAAACTAAACTCATAGAGATTGAGAGTAGATAAGTAGTTGCCAGGGGCTGGGGGTGGGGCAATATGGAGAAGATAGCAGGGCACACAGCCTTTCAGTTACACGGTGAGTAGGGTTCGAGGGTGTGACGTGCAACGTGGTGATTATAGTTAGTAACCCTGCATTGTATAATTGAAATGAGCTCAGAGAGTAGAACTGTTCTTACCCCTCCCCACTCCAAAAAGAGAGATGTGTGTGGGACCAAGGATGTGTGAATTAGCACATGGAGGGGGGGCGGAATCCTTTCACGATGTTTGTGGATATCGGATCACAATCACGGACATTTTAAATATCTTACAACCTTGTCAGTTACACCTCAACAAAGCTGAACTGAAAAATAAAACGAGCTTTCCAGGAAAATGGGCTTTCATGCTTGCATCGGCAATTCGGTGATTACCCGGTGCCTTAACTTTCCCCACCGTTGACTGGTTAGGGCTGATGACGCGCCTCTGCCCTCGGTGGGCCTTGGCGGCCGCGCCCTGCGGACCTGCCGCTCAGGACTCTGTCCTCTCTGTGTTGCAGTGCCCTGGTTCCCGAGAACCATTCAGGACCTGGACCAATTTGCCAACCAGATTCTCAGCTACGGAGCGGAACTGGACGCAGACCACCCCGTGAGTGCTGGGCCCCGCCGTCGCTATGCTTTCGGCCCTCCCCTCCCCCACCCACTCCCAGCACCCCCTTTAGCGCAGGGTGCAGCAGTCACTTACCCAGGGCCTGCTTAACCACACGGTGACGTCATCACTGTACGGTCCCTGCCGTCGGAGCGACCGTGGGTTAACCCTCCAGAAACTGTTGTTTCTCGATAACACACGTGTGTGAGTGTGCACCCCCCCAACGCACACATATGTAAGTCATCTTTGTTTCTCTGACGTCCTCCAGTTCCAGAGGTTGAAGTCAAATGCCCGGGAGACAGTGAGCTGTTCTAACGGCTCTGCCGGGTCCCCTGGACGTGGGGAAGATGCCGGCCCAACAGGGACAAGGAGGCCTTCCAGTGTGAGGGAACAGCATGTGCAGGGCTGGGGGCCCGAAAGCACCCGGGGCGCTCAGAGTGGCTCCTGGGGGTGAGGGTCAGAAGTAGACGGGCCTGAGGCACGGGGTGGAGAGCTCAGACTGTGTCCTGTGTCCTGGGGCAGGGGAGCGGGTCCTTCCGTGGTCTCTGCTTAGGGGACCAGCCTGGGGAGATTTTACCCGCCTTTCCTGCAGAGCGGAGGGTCCTGGGAACTGCAGCCCAGGCTGGGCCCCTGTAGGTGAGGGGTGTCACCGCTGGAGTGACTGTCCTTCACTGTCCACCCAGGAAAATGCCTTCATTAATAGACCTTTAAATGACTTAGGGCGACTTTCGCTTGCAGGGTTTGCTAGGACTTTAACAGATGTGTCTGCATTTCGTCCGGTGTCTGTTTTTCTTTCTTCACATCCTGGGGGTCCTGACTGCTGAGTGCGTTGTGGACGACCCCCTTTGACACATCTGTGTCCCGGGCCCCTGGGCCCCAGGAGCAAAGCACCTCCAAAGACACCGTTTCTCTGAAAAGCTGTCTGGTTGCCTCTGACCCCATCATGGGTCGGCCCATCATGGTCCCCTCTCCTCTCACCAACCTCCAGCCCCGGCCTGACCTCGTCCCTCTCATTGGCCGCACTCCTGTTGTCCCAGGATGTGGGAGGAGAGGCCGGTTCACGGGCTGATCTTAAAACTCTGGAATTAATTTCTCCCGACAGACCCAGCCCACATCTTTGGCTCTCTGGCCTCTTGGGGTCACGGATTTGCCATAAAACTGCAATTTATCAGGTACACAGTCCCCCTGACGAGGAGGCCAGGCTCGCTCTGTTCCTTCCTGTGGCTTCTCGTCAGATGTGGGAACGGACAGGCCAAGGACAGAGCAAACCCTCCAGGGCGAGAGGAGAGGGGCGGGCGTTCCTCCGGAGGGGACCCTCTGTTCCGCGCCGTCCCCGGCCTCAGGATGAGCTTGTCTTGCCCTGACCTCCGCTCTTGGCCATAGGTGCTGATGTTTGACCCAAATACCCCGAGTCAGGGCCTCCAACACAGCTGCTTGGAGGAATGAGGCCAGGGAAGGACTGTCCCCAAAACAGAGGTCAAGGGCATCTGCCTTGGGGTGTTTGGGAAATGAACTAGGGTAGCTGCCCTCCACTCTGTCCACCCCGCCTTCCCTCCATCCCTGTTCTCTTTCCTCCATCCACACACATTTATTAAGCAAGTGATATTCAGACTCAACGTTTCTTGAGCACAGGTGGTGTGCTAGGCACTGTGGGAAATGCTTTACCTGCATTTAAAACATTTATAAGTTCTAAACCATGGGAGGGTCGTACTTATCTTGCTTTCAGGTGAGGAATCTTGGCCCGAGAGGGCTGTGTGGTTTCACGTGTCTGTGACCAGTGTCCCTGGCCATGTGCAGGGGAGGGGGTTGAAATGCTTAATGGAACCTGAGCCCTGCCTCCTGGAGCCTCCAGGTGTGGGGTTGAGGGAGGAGGGGTGACTCCTTTTTGCAGAGGGATGGCCAGGGGGACTGAGACAGCACTGTGAGCCTGGCAATGTGTGTGTGTGTGCGCGTGCGCGCACTGGGGGGAGTGGTGTGTTTGAAGAATTAAACTAAGACTAATCTGGACAAATTTGGAGACATAATATGTGGGCAGTTGTAGGTCAGCACAGAGCTGGAAATGTAAGCAGGGCAAGAGCACATAAAGCCTTGTGGACTATCTTGAGGATTTTGGAAAACATCCTGAAAGTGGTGAGAAGCCATTGAAGGTTTTAAGGAGGGAGTGATGTCACCAGACCTGCCTTTTGTAAAGTCTCCTCGGGATGAAGTCAGGAGAGTGTTTTGGAGAGAAGACCAGAAAGCAGTCATATAGTCCGGGCAAGAAAGGATGGAGGCCCGAATCAAGGGGCCACAGTGAGGATAAGGAAAAAAAGACAGACTCAAGATATTTGAAAGAAAAAAATGGGCAAAAATTAATTTTTGGATGTGAAGGAAGGGAGGAAGAGAGAAGTAAACCAGTGACTCCCAGGTTACTGGATTGGGCAACCAAAGCAGGTCTCTGAATCCTTCCCAGAACAAGCTTTACTGGGGGCGACCATGGTGACAGCCCAGTGCAGGCGAGAGCAGGGGTCAGGGGCAGCACTGCCTGTCTCCCTTGGTTTGCAGGCCTTTGGCCTGTGTCTCCAGGATGGCAATGATAGGTATTTAAAAATGTCACTTTGAACCTCCCGTCTCCTATGTACCAACCTTCCTCTGGTTGGCTTGGGACCGATAGGATGCAAAAGGCCCTCCTTAGTGGCCTACACGGAATATAAAGAGCAAGGTGAGGATTCTCTAGGCGCTGTTTATAAAGCCCAGGATGGGTGCTGGGGCTTGGTGACCCTTCCAAAGAGGATCCTTTGGGTTCTGAGCAAGATGTCTCAGCTTCTGGACTTCCCACCACTGTGCACAAATGCATTCTTTTTTGATTGTCTCCTTTAAAAAAAAAGATTTTATATATTTAGTTTTAGAGAGAGAGGAAGGGAGGGAGAAAGAGAGGGAGGGAAACATCACTGCAGGGGAGAAACATGATTGATTGTCTTTCGCAGGTGCCCCAACTGGGGACTGAACCCACGACCCAGTCACGTGCCCTGACCAGGAATCGAACTTGTGGCCCTTTGCCTTGTGGGATAATGTCTGACCAACTGAGCCACACTGGTCAGGGCGAATGTCTCCTTTATACTCAGGATTTTACTTGATCTATCCCCCAACACTGCATGGTCGCTACCATGAACCGTCTCTTTTTACTGACCAACCTGTGGCCATGCTCCTAGTGATCACATGGGTTAAAAATCCAACCCAGCCTGTCAGACATTTTTTAGGTTAAAATTTGCCGGTAATCATTTTATTTTTTAATTTTATTTTTTCAGTGAGAGTTCACATTCAACATTATTTTACATTAGTTCCAGCCTGTCTGATTAAAGGTGGCATTTCTGAGGTTTAACCTTGGCCATGATAATGGCATGAAGGCCTCTGCTTAGAAAAATACTCAGAAGGCTTTTTCGTACAGCTGCCCTTTTCCCCAAACCCCCGCAAAAACAAAATCACACTCTCCCACACCCTCAAGTAACAAAGATCCCGGGAGTAAGGGAAGGGATCGCATGTCGACTTTGCATCCTGCAGAATTCTCTCGGCCTCCTCCATCTGTCCCCCTCTCCCCACCTCCCCTCCTCACTTCTTCACCAGCAATATATTTTCCTGTCAAAACATACTTGGTTCCCCGCAGCGCAACCAAAATTGCTGCTATTAGCGTAATTGAGACAGGCTGATTATAAATAAATTACACGCAGTGCCACCGACATTGCCGCTATTAGCGTAAACTGACACAAGATGATCAGTGATCTCCAACTGCAGCTTCATTCAGAGTGTGTGCCACAGGGCTGCGGAGCCCGACGGTCACCCTGCAGCCCAGAGGACACTCCCCAAGAGATGGACTTCACGATTACACTTCTCTGGTAACTGAGAGAGCAAAAGCCCCAAGTCCTTGCAGCCTCTTGGTGGGGTTCACTTGCAGGCTAGTGGTGAACTTTTTAGCAACTCTGGGCTGAAAAGGACCAGGGTTAGAAACCACCCCATAGAGAACATCGGTGTGATGTAGTACGTGTGTGGGTGTTGGTGCATCTCCCTGCATGAATCTGCTACCACTTTCCATAATGAATAGGTGGGTTTTTACTCGCGTTTTACTTTTTTTCTAACTATAACCTCCCAACACACACACATTAGAAAACTTCAAAAGCATATATAACACACAAGAATAAAATGTTACTCTTTCTCATTTCCATAACACTGTTGGGCTCTGGTGTACTCCATCATTTCGTTTGTATCTTTACATATTCCCTCTGACATAGTCGACACCTATGGGACCCACAATTTTATATTAAGCTGTTTTTTCAATGATGGAAAGATATTTAAACCATACATTACATATTAAAGGTAAGGAGTCCACCGGGGAGGAGAAGCCGTCACGGGTGCCCCATTCCTGGAGGCAGCCTGAGGAGCTGGACATCCACGGGTGAAGGGAATTTTTCTCCTCTTCCTAGTTTTCTACTTCAACCCTCAACCTTCCACTCACCAGCCTGGGCAGGACCAGAAAACCCTAGTGGAGGTTCTTGTTCTGTAGTTAAGGATTCTTGGGCAAATGACCCTCTGCACTTGACCTTCCTCAGGTAGATGTTCTGTTCTCCAAGGTACCTTGCAAGGCAACAGTCTACACTTCGTACTTCGGAGCTGCTGAAAGCCATTTACCACTGAGTGTTAACTAAGACTAGGAGGGAAGGGTGACTGTCAGGACTGAGCCTTCATGATTGACAACCATTGAATTTGCATTTTGAAGTATTGGGGTGTGTTCTTCATTAGCCCAGCAGACAGGCTCCTAAAAGAATATCCTGGTGCTGCTTGCAAGTCAAATCATGGTGCCCAGTTTCCTTATCAGAGCATCTCAAAGCAACTTATCTTCCCCCAGAAGAAGCAGACCTGATGGTAGGTCTAATTTTTCAGATTCCTAAGCTTTCCTACCTGCAATTAATGATTCAAAACCACTCAATGCTCTAAGGAAAACGAGTTATACTTTGTAATAATCACACCATAGACTATTTCCTAAACTAATCATCTTCACTTATCTGGAATTTAGGTTTGGAATGAAAAAATGTATGGCAGTTTTACTTCACTTTTCCAGTGTGAAACATTTACATTTCTTGATTTCTTAAAATACGCATATATCAGTGAGATCAAACAGCGTTTGTTTTCACCGACTGACTGACGTCACCTGGCCCGATACTGTCAAAGTCCACCCACACCCTCAGAAGATTTTCCCTTCTTTCTTTATGGCTGAACACTATTCATATATAATGGAAATTACTCATTCACCCATCAGTGAAACCTTAGGTTGTTTCATGTCTTGGCTGTGGTGAATTATGCTGCAATTAACATGAGGGGGTGCAGGTACCACATTAAAATGGCCAACCTTCCAAGTTTGTTGTAAGAGTTATAAATAAAATAAGTTTCTAGCACACACAGACTGGGACATAGTGGGCAGTGAATAAATGGCATTTTAAACATTGCCACGACGGTAGCATACACTGTTTGTCTTTGAAGAAGTTAGGAGGCGGTGTTAGCCACCATCAGTCAAGCGTTTAGTGGATATCCTGTATCTTCATCACAGACGACTATCCTACCAGCTTGGCCTAATTTAGCAAGTGTCCACTGTAGAAATGCTATGGCTGAGATTTGTTAAAAACCTATCCACTCTTTTGCACTTTGAAACCCCGTGGCACAGAGGCTGACACCGAGTGAAGGGGTGGCTAGTGATGTGTCCCTCATCATGCCGCGGCAGAGCTTGCCCTCGGTCTCCCTGAGACTTTATTTTCAGTGTACAATCCAGGCAAGGAGGGGCGCACTGCCCGAGCTCAAGGGCTCCTGTTGACAGTGTGCATAAGTGTGCAAGGCTTCTCGCTCCAAAGCCTTAAGATTAGCAAGTGTCTCCTTTCTCCTAGGGTTTTAAAGATCCCGTGTACCGAGCGAGACGGAAGCAGTTTGCTGACATAGCCTACAACTACCGACAGTGAGTCTGCCGTGATGGGTGGGGGGAAGAGAAGCATGCTGCTACCCTGACTCTCCCTTGGCCAAGGCTGGAAAACACCAGCATGGAGAGCCCTGCCAGGAGCACGCATATGTGTGTGTGTGTGTGTGTGTGTGTGTGTGTGTAGACCCTCCCTTTAATAACACCTGTGAAAAAAAAATCCTGCTAGACAAAAACAAATTACCCACTGGCTGGGGCCCAGCTCCCCTCCCAGGCTTTGTTGTGTAATTACGCAGTAATGTCTGAAGTGATTATAAAAGGCCTCAGTCCTGAACAAAAGAGCTGCTGGTATTCTCCATATTAAACATGGAAGGAGGGAAAAGAGAATCATTCACATTCAAGAAGCAGTCGGCTGCTTTACTGAAATCACGAACCACGTGCGGTTCCAGGCGAACCTGCCTCAGCGTTCTCCTTTCATCCCACCCGACCCGCCTGCGGGGGGCAGTGTTCCCACGAGTGCCTTTTCTCCTCTCTGGGATTCTCTGCACCCCCTCTACCTTCTCTGGGCCAAGGGAAAAGGCGAGCACCGAATATGTTATTCGGAAGAGAACTGCTGTGCTATTTGGAGTCCCAAGGAGCCTCAGAGAGGCTCCCATGGGAAGCTTAGTGTCTGGAGGTCGGAGCCCCATTCCGGAGATCAGGGCATGAGAAAAGATGTGCATGAGCAGAAACTTAGCAGTTGGCCAGAACACCGAGTAATGGTTCTTTAAGAACTTAGACTATGAAGGCGATAATGGAAATGATGACAGGGCTCTGTACTGAAGACAAAGTCACCTTTCAAATGAGCACATTTCCTTCTCTGAATGACTCCTGGTAGTGGAAGGATCCAGAACTGTGCTGACCTTGGCCCAGCATGCGTGGGTTTTGGCCTGTGGCAAGCAGGAGTCAGAGAACTTGGGGACCTCTCTCTTCTGTCCTTACCTTTGCCCCAGCGTGGCAAGTGGATGCCACCAAACCAGGTGTAGATGAGAGTCTTTCTTCAGCTAATTAACAATAATAGATCACATTATTATCTTCCTCCTATGTCTGGGGCTTTGCTAAATGCTTTGTTTATATTATTTCATTTAGTCCTAACAGTAACTCCCCATTTTCCTGATGGGAAAACTAAAGCTTAAACAAGTTAAGTGACTTGTTAAAGACATACTCTAGTAAGTGGAATGCTCTGGTTTTGAACTCGGCCCTGTTTCACTCCAAGGGCATGCTCAATCACTTCCCAGAGTGTCTGGGAACTCTCGAAGTCAGGAGACTGTACTTCTCCTATTTCACTTTCTGCTGGTTTTTCTCCTTCCTTTCCGACATTTCTTCTCAGCCTCCTCTGGCCAGTTCTGCCCACCCCGGAAACTGTGACATCTTTCAGAACACAGTGTCGGCCCGCTTCCTTGGCTCGTGCCGCCCTGCCTGCCACCAGCCCCCACATTCGGGTCTCTGGCATCTTCCCCAGAATTGCTCCACATGGGGATCAAACTCCTGCATCTCGAATCATAGAATCTCAGCATATCGATCAGTTGATAAAACGTGTCTCTGAACAGTTAGCCCATGTAACATTGCACAGGCTAGGCTTAGACAGGTACTAAATTGCCTAAGGCCACTTAGCTGTGAACCGGCACAGCCAAGCACTGAACCCAACTCTGTTCATTTCCGAAGCCTGTTCTTTTCCTTCATCAGCACTTGGCCCTGAAACAATGATGCATCTTTAGGCAGGGCCTGACCTGTTGTTCTTTTTACAATCCCTGCTGGTCGTTACTGGACCTTATGTTGCTTTTAATACTTAAGCCATAATCTGTCTTTCCCCCCTAATCCCTGCCCACCTTTCTGTGGAACGTAACAGTGACTTTGCTTTCCTGTCCTCGGATGAGCTACAATTCTGAAGAGGCAGGAGTGACCCAGTTTGGAACCTGATGAGGATGAGCTGTTATTTTGAGATAAGCAGTCTCGCCTTGTTCCAGACACTGTGCATCCTGTTAGAAAACAGGCCTGTAGCCCACAGAACAGTCACTCGTCTTGGAAATCAGGCTTTCTTTGGTTTTATTTTATTCCACTGTTCAGAACACAGCTCATGCTTCATTTTTAAAAGGACCTTTGAAACGAATGACTCCTAAATGACAGCATGTCACCCAGGAGCTTATTAGAATCCAGATGCCTAGACCTGCCCCTCCCCACAGATTCATGGTCTACAGGGCACAGCCAATACGTGTACTTCACCAAGCTCCCTGTAGTTCTGCCATGTCACAGCAGAAGATGCTTTGTGAGCAGATTGTATACCTAGCGTGCATTTCAATACCTTTGTGACACCTTTCTGCCGAGGGGCAGAAATAACAAATGCAGGAAGTGCAAGACCACTCAGCAGGGGTCTCAGGCTCACGGTGCACACAGCAAATCCACTGTAGCCCACAGATATAATTGTTTTAGTTGACATAATACAAAACATTAGTTGACCTTGATGCCTTTGTTTAGAAAGAGGATGCACTCCTCAGTAGTCTCACCCTCCCCTCCTATTGTCTGTACCTACTGGTTTACACGTTTACATTACTTATCTGGCGTCTGAAGGTAAGTGAATGTTCATCTTACCTAAGCAGTTAGAGAGATAAGAGAGCAGGCAGGCCAAGTGACTTCCCACTGTGACAGCAAGTCCTTGGTGCGGCGCAGGAGGTGAGACCTTGTATCATTGCTTAACCAAACCAGTCGAATGTCTTCTACATCAAGAAGTGGAATTCCGCTCTTTCAAATGACTTAGGGAGTCCAGGTGGTGGCATCTCACAGACCCTGGACCCTCTCCCTCTGCTGGTGCTCCTTCATCCACCACTGTGCACCTGCCCTGCCAGAGACGAGTAACTCATGCCTGTATTCTAGTGGGCAGCCCATCCCACGAGTGGAGTACACAGAGGAGGAAAAGAAAACGTGGGGGATGGTGTTCAGGACCCTGAAGACCTTGTACAAAACCCACGCTTGCTACGAGCACAATCACATCTTCCCGCTGCTGGAGAAGTACTGCGGCTTCCGTGAAGATAACGTGCCCCAGCTGGAAGAGGTTTCTCAGTTCCTGCAGTGTGAGTCCGCAGCGGGGCCAAGGGTGAAGGGACAGGAGGGGACGTGTGCCCGTGGCAATGCGTTCAGGTTGATCCCCCCAGGAAAAATTAGATGTCCCCATTGAGCGCGGCCTCCCCACAAAGGCATGAATTTTGCCTTATCGATGCCCCTGAAAAGCGTTTTATTTTTTCAGACTCAAAGCCCAGGGCTCTCCTTGCACCTCTGCTATGAGAAGTGTGCCTTTGTATAAAAAATGTGCTTTTGGGGGGGCAGTGTTGAGAGCCCTGAGCTCTAAGTCTATATACACCCATGTGGTATGAATCACGCCCTGACTTTCTCTAGTTGGGTGAGCTGACGTCAGCTTGTCACCTGTCCACTGGGGCCTGTGCCAGTCTTTCAGCCTGTCTCATGGGGAAATTGGGAGAATAAAATAAGGTGTTGCATGGGAAAGCACCACCGTAGTGATGCACCCACGGTAGGCGCTCAGTGCTTTTGGACTCCGAGTACCTCAGCGGGGAAATCCGTTATTGGGGCGACCGGCCTCTTCACGTCATTTCCAGGAAGACGAGTGTTTCCCTCTCTGCCAGGAAGGGTTGTGAATCCAGCACAGACTGTCCGCTTTATTACTGATGAAAGCAGCTGAGAGAAGGTGGTAGAGGTGTACAGGCCCGTGGGCTTCCTGGTGTTTCGCCCCCGGGTCCAGTGTACTTGCCTGACAGTTCATTGGCACAGCGTGTAGTCCACTGCATGGTCAAGGGCAGGCCAGTGTGTGCTCCTTCGTGGACACACAGACAATAAGAGAGAAAGGGACTCAGGGTGGAATTGAGAGTATTCGTTCCTCTTCCCAAAGGCTCCACTGAGAGAAGCCACTGCTCGTCACGGGGTGGCCTGTGTAGGTGCAGCAGGGAAGCCAGGGCGCTCGTTTCGCATGTTCCTCCCTGGGGAGTGAGGTGAAACTTTCCTCTGAACTCTGGAAACACGCAGAGTGGGGAATAACTGTTTCAACTTAACCGACAATGAATTTATCGGATGTTTTCAAAGTGCTAGGTATGTGAATTATTTTATTAGCCCTGTTGATGCTTAGAATAATCTTAAGAAGTATTCATCCACCTGTTGCAGATGAGGAAACCGAGGCTTAGAGAAGTGAAGAGAGTTGGCCCCCGTCACCCAGCTGGACAGCGTTGGGCAGGCACTCGAGGCCCAGTCTGCCTGGCATTGGCACCCGTCCTGCTGGGCAGCTGGGTGTGTTGCTTCCCTACCTAAAGCTTCAGGCCTCTCTGGTTCTTCTGCGGTGGGCATTGAGTTTTCTTTCTCCCTTGCTCTCTAGCTTGCACTGGCTTCCGCCTCCGACCCGTGGCTGGCCTGCTTTCCTCTCGGGATTTCCTGGGTGGCCTGGCCTTCCGAGTCTTCCACTGTACCCAGTACATCAGACACGGGTCCAAACCCATGTATACACCTGAACCGTGAGTATTGTCCCCCCACCACCAGCTGCCAGCAACAGAGGACGCCGCCTCTCCCCCATTCGGGAATGTGGTTTGGGTTCATTGTGGACCGATCCATAAAACAAGTTGCCTGGATGATTCGATTGTTTGATGCTAGGAGAAAAACTCATCTCTTCTAGGGATTTTCTCTGTCCAAATAGAAAGACCATACTGATTGGAAATCTAGGTGTCTTGAGAGCCAAAGATTCAGACTTCCCCCGGCCATGGGAATGAAAGGTCACATTCAAATTCCGAAGGAATCGTAGAAGTCAGAGCTATGACATTTCAAATGGGAACAGGAAATAGGAAAGAGGCAGCAAGCTCCCTCCACACCTCCCAAATGCATGCCTAGATGAATCTAGGCTTTCCGTGCCTGATTGTGTTTTAGCTGGAGGTACAGAATGGCTGGCTGCTGTGCTGCTTACTTTTGAATTTAGCTATTTTCTTAGGCAGCTAGATATTAAGCAATTTATACAAAAAGTCAGCAAGACACCCTGAATAGTCTTTCCCTGCCCTTAAAGTTCATTACTGTAAATCAGAACAGATCTGTTCTTAATGGGCCTGGCACATTAAGTGTTAAATCAATGTGTTTTCTTCTCTGACTGATTGCTGCCAACTCCAGAATAGGAGAGGAACAGTGCTATCAACATATAAAAAAAATCCCTGTGGGGAATAACTGAGCAGATTGGATCTGCCCAGGAATGTCAATGCCAAGGTGAAGGCTTGAGATGGGAAGCGTTCATGATCCACAGCTCACTCAGGTGTGTGGGAGGATGCCCACGGGAATATTTACTCCTCTGCACCTCAGTAGGCATATACCTAAAACTCCCTGGCTGTTTTGCCCTGCCCTCGGTCTTTTCTTTTCTTTTTCCTTCCTTCTTTTCTCTTACACCCTGCCTCATCTGATCCCACGGTTTGCATACCACTTATTCTTGGAAGTGAGGCCATAAAATTGAAAGAATTACTTCATTTCTTTTCCACCTATTTCTCATGTGGAAAGACTGAGTCTAGCTTGCTTTGTAACCCTTCTTTACTCTCAAATTGTGCTCTCTGTCTTTCAGTGACATCTGCCATGAACTGTTGGGACACGTGCCCTTGTTTTCAGATCGCAACTTTGCCCAGTTTTCCCAGGTGAGGAGTGAATCTCTCTAGCCTTCTAGCTACAGGGGTGAGACCTGGATTGCTCAAATAAATCGATACCATGGAGGTACTCTCTTATCTTCTGGAAGGTACAGTTCTGTGCTCATACCTAAGATGGGTGTGTGGTCTCATGGTGATGGCTAACTACCTAATTGAGAGACCACAGTGTGGGATTGGTGAATTGTTTATCCTCTGAATAATATTGTTGCATTTGCTAATCTCACTCGTCTTTGTCGTTTAAGGGCCTTTTGGTCCATGAAAGCCTCCCTGATCTGCATGTAGGAGTAGCCCTACCTTCTCAAGCAGACATTTGGTACATGTTTTCATTAAGTAAGACAACATTTGCCAAGAATCCAATGCCAATAGAATCCAAAGCCAACTCAGAATTGCTAAAAAATAATAAGCTTGTAATCTTTCTACTATAATCAGAATAACAGGCTAGATCTGGATTCATCCATCAGAGTGGTAACCAGGTTAAAAATACTTTTGGGGTCAATGAAAGAATCCACAAAGCCTTCTTTCTCTCTTGCTCTCTGGGTACTTAAGGGCAGCCTAGAACTATGGTTAGGTAAGGTTAGGTCATGAGGTTGTTGAATGACGCATTCATAGATCCCACCATGCTGCCAATCAGCTTACCAGACCACCCTGTGTTTTAGTGTCCACAGATACGGAGCAATAAAAAGCCCTCCTCACACACACACACACACACACACACACACACACACACTCTCACACTCACACAGTGAGTATCACATGGACTGACCCACAAGCAAATGTTGGATTATGGATGCATTTCACAATAATGGGATTGCATGTGAACTTTAAGCAGCTGAAAGAAATAAATATTTCTACTGTGAAATGAAGAGGCTACTACTTAATGTCTAAAACAGATAAACAAAGAGCTGAATTAACTGCTTGCTAAGTGAGGGAGAACTGTACTTGCAAGACACAGCCTTCTACAAGCAAAGTGTTGCTTTTCTGTAAGGTTCTGGGAATCATGGAGTACAGATATTGCAAAACTTTTAGAAGTAGAAGAGTTTAAAGATTCGTTGAACCTTAACTGTGGAATCTGCAAGACTGGACTGAAGTTACTGCCGACCCGCTGTCTTTCAGAAGTGTGGTTCTTGCTGCCAGGATGTCCTTGATTGTTTGGGAAGCTTTAAAACTGGGTTTTATTACTATGGCCAAAGATAAATCAATGTTCTTCTCAGAGAATAGGAACAGTTTGTTCTTGCCACCAGAAGCTACTCTGCCCAATCAGAGGCTGAGTACAAACCCTCCTTAAACCATTTGCATTTTGTGGAGTCCCACAGAGGAATTAACCTGAGTCATGGGATGGGAGCTGTGGGCACAGGGTTTCAACTTCGATCTGGACAGTCCTGAGGCAGAGGACCATATTGAAGCTTCCCTGAGTCCATTCCTTATTAATCTATAGCCAAACTTACTTTCCACTAGAGTGAAAGATGAGGTGAGGATGGAGCACATGGAAATCTTGGGACCCCGTGTTCTAAGCAAGCTGTGGGCCCACAAAGGATGGTGACTACTAGAACAGGGTTACCATTTTGATCTTGGATTTAAGAGAGACTGAGGACTGTGGTGAGTCTGGAGCAGAGATGGGGAAGGAGCAGGAGAGTAGAGCCAGCTTAAGCCAGTGTCTAAATCTGTTTTTTTTTCCCAACTAGACAGCATTTTCCCTGCATGTCATCTGGACTAGTTATAGGGTTTGACCCGGGCGGGAATACAGGGCTAATGGCTACCATGTGGCCTTTTGCTACATGATGGACCCAATCCTTAGTCTTTCTCTCTGTCTATATTAACTCATTGATTATCTCGCCCAGTTTCATAGCTTTGAATACTATCCTGATCCTTATGATAAGCACACTTACAACTTCACCACAGACTTTAACCCTAAAACTTAGATTTACGTATCCAACCACCTATTAAATATCCCACTTGGATGTGTAGCAGACACTTCTGTTTACCTTATCCAAAAGTAAATTCCTAACTTTCCCGTTCAAACCATCTCCCCCACCCCTCCCTATATTATTTCATGCCAACTCTGTCCTTCCAGTTTCCCAAACCAAAAGCACTTGGGGAACATGACGAACTATTTTCACCTTTCAGAATACTCTAAGTGTTTACCCTCAAAACATGTGTAGAGTCTGGCCATTGCCCATCATGTTCACTGCTACCAGCCTGGTCTCAGCTGTTAGCATTTCTCACTTGGTGACTGCCCCAGCCTCCTAACTGGTCTCTCTACCTCCACCCTTGGTCCCCTACAGTCTATTCTCACACAGCATCCACAGTGAATCTTTGATGACATAAATAAGATCTTGCCACTTCTCTGCTCAGAACATTGTAATGGCTTCCCATTTCACTGAGAGGATAATGTTAAGCCCTAAATAACCAAAAAGGTCCTACATGATTGGGCTCCAGATTCCTCTTTGATATCACCTGTCATGCCCCCACCCTCTTACTCTGCTGTAACTACACTGGCCCCTCTCTGTTCCTTGAACCAACTGAATTACCCCTCCTTAGAGAGATTTTCATTGGCTGTACACTTGGCCTGTACAACATTCTTCCTTCAGATGTCAGCAGAGCCAACGACCTCACTTTCATCAAACTTACTCAAATATCTCACCAGTGGTTATCCTGGGACCCTATTTAAAATCACTCCCAGTGCCTCCCCCCACTCCGGGCACTCTCAGTTCCCCTTGACCCTTTCTGTTTTTGTTCCTTCCTTAGAACTTACAACCTTCTAACATACCCATATAGATGCTTAGTATTTATTGTCTGTTTCTACCTACTCAAAGGGAAGCACCATGAGGTAAAGGACCATTATTAGTTTTGTATACCTCCAGCCACATAGAAGGCATTCAATGAATGTTTTTGCAGTGAATGAATGCATGCCGTAGGGAAGACGCGCATACACATATATATTTGTATATATACACTGATACAAGGCTGGCTGCAGCAGATGCTGTAGCAGATCGAGAGAACGCTAGAGAAATTTTACAGTCAGAGTTGTGATGAAAAGCGGACCGTGACATTTCATAATCCCCAACTATATGAGTGTGTACCTGGACAGATGCCTGGCACTTCTCCTGTGGTGTCTTCAGGGTATACTATTAAAACTCATCCAGCACTCAGGAATGTTCCACTTCTGCTGTGGGAGAATAATCACTGAGCTGGAATCAAGAGATGAGGTTTTAGACACAAAGTACTGTGTCATCTTGAGCAGGTCATCTCCCTTTTTTATGCTACAGCTGACTCATCTTTAAGTGAATACAAAGGACCAACCATTTCCCCCATGCTAGGGGTCAGAGATTCTATGATGTGTGGTTGGGGCAGCCTTGCCAGAACAATCGGGGTCTCTCTGGGCTCTTCTGAGGGTATCTGGCTATCTGTCACCTTTCTGTGGTCCGTTACAAGTTTGAAACTGAGGGTAAAGGTTGAAGATAGGCAGACCCCAGTCATGTCAATGACTCTGTTCCTCCACAATTACAGGAGATTGGCCTCGCCTCGTTGGGTGCACCTGATGAGTATATTGAGAAACTTGCCACAGTAAGTTCCCGCTTTCCCTGGTGGGTAGGAGGTGTGTTACGGGCTCTAGCCCTGAGGTTTTTGAAGTTTCTATCCTTCCCTGAAAGCCAGGTCATTTGGAAAGGGAATCAAAGTGTGCTGGGTTATATTGGCACAAGTGAAATTTTACATTTGTATTCCTCTTTAATGGTTTGCTTTTGAAATCAGCTGCATGCCGATATTTACATGTGATTCTAAACAAAGTGCCTTGAAAACACTGACAGGCTGTAGTAATCGCCCTTGGGAATTCTCGGGCATAAAGTGCATGTGTGGAATCAGTGACTGACGGTAATTCAGAAACATCCCAAGTTTAGCACAGTTGAGGGGATGACCCCTGATTGGTTCTATCACCGTCCAATCCCTGCCTCCCACTGCTGAGCCTGATGGCATTGCCTGGTAGGCTCAACCAACTTAAAGAGAACATCTTACTTTGATTGATGCCATGGAGAAGAAAGCACAAGTGGTGGAGGAGTTTCTGTCCTAGAGAGAGAAATTTGTTAGGGGTGTACTTTTGGGGCTCCCCCAGTACTCTTTCCCCCTCCCATTGCTTCCTGTTGCATCCTGCATTCAGCCAACTGAATTGAACATTCAACAGGTTATGGCTTTAGTGTGAGACACAGGAGACAGAGAGGTAACCCCAGGTCATGCTGATTCCAAGAACAGACCTATACAAACTCTCACCTGGGCAGGCCTGTCCTTGATCCTGGGGCATCTGCTGCCTTCACCTTCCTTGGGGTATGTTCTCAACTTGACTTTCCATTCCAGATTTACTGGTTTACTGTGGAGTTTGGGCTCTGCAAAGAAGGAGACTCCATAAAGGCATATGGTGCTGGGCTCCTGTCATCTTTTGGTGAATTACAGGTATGGCCCTAACAGGAACCAATGACAGATTTGGAAGTGGGGGAAACAGCTGATGATTCTTATTTTTCTTGGTCCTGTGGAAAACCCATTTATATCCATTTTGTACTCAATCCTTAGGATTAACCTCAAGTGATTGGTACCTTAGCAGGTATGATTTGATCATGAGTGTGTTAGATAAATACATGAATGTGTTAGATAAACACATGAGTGTATTAGAAATTGAACTGCAAGTACACAGGTCTCCAGGACAGAGGGGCTTCCTGATTCCAAGGCTGACCTATGCATACTGATGTATGAAAATACATGCCAGAAAGTGTGGTTGGCTCCCACATCATCTGTTGATTGATGGTTGGAGTGAATTATTCCTTTCTATCTTAACTGTAGGTTTTACGTGAACTCTAGAGGGTAGGGTCTAGTAGATGCAAAATAATGTGGCTCACTCCCCTGGCCTGGGGTGTGGAAGGAATCAGGACGAAACCAGAGCAGGTGTACAAATGGCCTGCAGGGTGCAACAGGGGCCGCTGGCTCTGATTTAACTCTGAAACGTTCTACTTGGGGTTTGCAGTATTGCTTGTCTGGCAAGCCAAAGCTCCTCCCCCTGGACCTGGAGAAGACAGCTGTCCAGGAGTACACGGTCACAGAGTTCCAGCCCCTGTATTATGTGGCCGAAAGTTTTAATGATGCCAAGGAGAAAGTAAGGTGAGGTGGCAACTAAGGTGGGTCAACAGCCCTGGAGACCTCCTGACTTGGTATGATGCCACTGATCTGTGGGTGGTGGGTCAAGAGGTGCCCAGTGCCCACAGCGACAGTGCGCAGCAGACAGAGCCTTCCACCCTCGTCCCTTCCCACCCTCTGTTGGAAAGGGTTCCTTAGTGGTGAGAAGGGTTCCTTAGAGGGACCTGTTTCACAGCTTATGGTCTAGACAAGCTGATCCCTGCAGACTGCTCAGCTATCTGATCCTTGTTCAATGCAGCCACCAATTGAACCTTCCTGTATATAGAGTGGCCACAGAGACCCTTCCATCCAATCAGCCAATGAAATCTTATAACCTGGGGAAGCCCTTTGTTCACTTTATTTTCCCAGACACCTGCATAACTCTTTTCCTGATTTCCTTTAAATCTTCACCCACATTTAACCTTTGTGTGTCTTTTTTTAACCAATGTATTCAAATTCACTACTCAGCGCCACCCCAATATTCCTTACCCTCTCCTATAATTAATTTTTCTCTTTACTACCCATCAATATCTACTTCTCATATATTATATTTTTAAATTCATAAGGATAGGGATTTTGTCATTTCTGTTTTCTATTCTTCCCCCAGACTTTAGGGTGTCCAGACTGCAGCCCACAGGCCACAGGTGGCCTGGGATAGCTATGTATGTGGCCTAACACAAAATCATAAGTTTACTTAAAACCCTTTTTTCGGCTCGTTAGTTTTCATTAATGTTTGTGTATTTAATATGTGGCCCAAGACAACTTTTCTTTTTCCAGTGTGGCCCACAGATGCCAAAACGCTGGACACCCTCGTTTGCCTAACACATCGTAGGCACTCAATAAGTAATTAGCAAATGCACCAATCTCAAGTGCTGGCCAGCAAGAGGCAAGGACTCTGAAACTCTCAGCCCACTGAGCTGACAACCCTGCAATTAATCCACCTGGGCAACTCTCTTCCTGGTAGGAGACAGGCCGTACATGGCTATCCTAATACTCACCATTTGTTACCACATCTTTTTTGAAGTATCATTAGTGATGGATAATAGACATGAAGTATGTAAGCCTCTGGGATCCTGTGATGCTGGGGATGTCAGCTTTCAATGCTTTGGACTTAGGTCATAAAAGGTAAAATTCTTGCCATGAGCATACACATTTGGCCTAAAATGACTCCCTTTCTCCCTCTCCCTCCAGGTTCTGATGTTCTTCCTGACGCTCTTTTCCAATTCTCTCCTAAGCCTCTACCCCTTACTATGAGCCTGGCCTCCCATGAGCCCCTAAAGGTCCCACTCTGCCATTCCTGTGACCTCTTTAGGGTTATGGGATTTAGTAGATTAGCGCAGTGAAATAACAATGATAATAATAATAATAATAATAGCAACAACACAGGTAAGATGCCTACTATTATTGCTAAACACTACTCTGAGTACTTTCTATGTATTGATTCATTTAATCTTCACATAAGACTACAAAGTTTGCAGATGAGGGTGCAGAAACATAGAGGGGTATAAATAACTCACCCAGAGTCATACAGCTAGCAAGTGACTTGGCCAGGATTTGGACCTGGGCAGTGGGCTCAGAGCCAGTACCTTTCACACTGGGATCACATTGGGATGGGCCCTACTGGAGAGGATTCCCTCATTCAGCAAGTAATCAGTCCCAGACCCATAGGGAAGAGATTGCCAGACCCTGGGCCTCTCAGGGCTTTGAAACCCCACCTGCTTTGCTAGTGTTCAGGGTCCAGAGGAGACATCCACAAAAGCTCCATGCCACAGAGGGGTATCTTGCAGAAACAAAGGGAGTTCTAAAAAGAAGACTCAAATAGGAAGGGACCCGAGCATCTCTGGGACTCCCACAGTGCCTTCCAGTTAGGAGAAATCAACGTGAACCTCTTTCAGTTTCAAGTTTCAAGCTCTAGGCAGAAACAAGGATCAGTATGGTCATGTTCCTACTCCTTGGCCAAAGGAGGCCTGGGCCCGAGACTGATTGCTCAACTGAGACACATAAGTAGGGCAGAGGTAGGTGACCCAAAGCAAAAATGAGGTGCACTGTGGGAATGAGAAGGAAGAGGTGCAGAATAAAATCAGATGTGCATGACACGGTTTATGTCAGCAACTGGGCTGAGAAAGCTCTTTTCAGAGAAGAGGTATACTTAACCATTTATTCTTCACGAGTCCCCTGTCACTAATAAATGATAACAGCTAGCACGCATGTAGTACTTACTCTGTACTATAATTGCACTTGCTACAACCCTCTGAGACAGTTTTGCTGTTGTTCCAATTTAATGGAAGAATAAGGCTACCGCGGGGTAGAGGACCCTTTGCCCATGGCCACAGGGGTGGTCACTGGAAGAAGCAGATGTGAGCCCAGGCATTCTAGCTCCGGAACTAGGTTATCCAGCCTCTACGCTCCACCACTCTTGCTAAACTTGGAGAGCCCTGCTAGTCTCCTGTATCATTGTCTTCTCAGTGTGGCAGCTTCTACTGTTACCAAAAACCAACTTAGAAATATCATTTGTGATATCTTTGCATTTTATAGGTCATTTTGGAATATCTTGTTAATTACATTGCTTGATGTCCCTCATAAAGCTGTTATGGTGCATTGCCCCCAGACCCAGGAGTAATGAAGAACACAGGCTTAGTGGAGGATCAGATTATGTGGCTCTTTTCCCAGCTTCACAACTGTCACTGTGGCTTTGGTAGTCAGTCACTTAGCCTTCCCAAGCCTCAGTTTTATCATCTGTAAAATAGGAATAATAATAGTACCTTCCTACTAGTGTTTCTATGAAGATTAAATAGGAATAATAATTATAAAGAGTATAAAACATTAAGAACTCAACATAGTTCTTGGTACATAGGATGACTCGAGCCACGGTGAATTTCATTAATAATGTAGTATTGTCTTCAGCCTTTGAGAGATGTATCTCCCTTCTTGCACTGACTTCCAGGCATCTCAGAGCTTATTTTTTTCTGTATCATTCTTTAGGTGTATTTTATTTATTATTTTTATTTCATTTTATGTAACAGTGAGAATTTTGGTTTTATCGTAATCTGTGCTTTTAAGCTGCCTCTGTCTTTTTGGAGGTAGTGACCCAAAATATATGCGTACATGTATTTCTGTATTCATACAGACACAAAAACAGCAAAGGATTCTCAAGAGGACCCCATTAAAACTCCACTTTACTTCTCAGCCTGGCTTTTAATGAGTTTTCAGTGCTACTAGTAGTAGTCAAATGAAACACCACTGAGAAATCTTTCAGAATTACGTTTTCCCCAAGTGGTGCCCTTCACTCAGATCTACGGTTTGGGTTTCAGGAGCTTTGCTGCTACAATTCCGCGGCCGTTCTCTGTTCATTATGACCCATATACCCAAAGGATTGAGGTCTTGGACAATACCCAGCAACTTAAGATTTTGGCTGACACCATCAATAGTAAGTAACACACCTTTTGAATCCATCTTCTTTCCCAGAAATAGAGGGTTGGGTTTCTTACCTTCACAACAAGAATGCTAAGAAATTTATTAAATATTGACATAAGGAGAAAAGCATCTCCATGTAGGAACAAGGCATGAATGGGAGTGGCTTCATCAGACCTTAGTCCAGTGGTCTAGGCTGCATTATCTGCTTGGACTGTGCATCCTCAAACCTAGTGTGCATCAGAACCACTTAGGGTGATAGTTACAAATGAATAGTCATGAGTCATAGCTCCAGACTAAATTTACTAAATTTTGTGCTCGGGCTTGGGAGTTTGTATTTGTAATAAGATCCCAGGTGATTCTGACCCAGGAGGTTTTTATGAACCACATTTTTAGGTTCCATAGCTCAGCTCCTCGGAAGCATCAATAGATGGTCATGCAAAAGAGGAACAGAACAGCTGGTGATTTTCCGGGGAGAGAAAACTGTTAACTCCTTTGCTGAGAACCAGCCTATGGACAGAGGAAGCTAACTCCATTAGTAGCTCTAGCACTTCCTAAAACTTGTAATTACCTGTGCCCTAATTGCCCAAGTTCACCGTAGCTAAGCCATGAGCTCCTTGAGGATTGGGGTGGTACCTAGCATCTCCACGCATCCTGGTGATTTCCCAGTGCTTTATACATTGTGGACACTTGAAGCGTGTTTGTTCATGGTATGAGTGGCTATCTGTTTATTTATTTATTTTCTGTAGGTGAAGTTGGAATCCTTTGCAGTGCCCTCCAGAAAATAAAGTGAAGCTATAGACAGAACCGGGTCTGTCAACTGAGAATCTGTTGTTGGAAATCCAACTACTTCTTTTATTTGAAAATGTCTGAAAATCAAATTTTAATTTGAAATGAAATGATAACTTTAAGTCATTTTTTGAACAAGATGAGGATTAACAAATAAATCTAAATAATCTGAAATGACAGTATATTAATACATACCCATAAGCATAATGATAGATCTTTTGGGACTATCTTTGATTTAGAGATGATAATCACATACTCTCAATTGAGTAAGATTAATAATATCTCACATTTAATCCAAGTTAATTAAAATTTGTGACCTGCTTCTTCCAACCTTCATAGTCACCATGGAAAATTCCTAAAGGAGTAGCTATCACTTGGTGATTGAACTTTTGGATTTAAAATAACTCTTAGCTTACAAAGGTTCTTTTCTATTTCAGTCAACTGTGATTCTAATAACTGCTTTGTTATGTTATATTACCTATGAAGATTTTTTAAAATTCAGAATCCTATTAAATGGTTATAAACATTAAAGTTCATAGTGTAATATCAAAACATATCTGTGTTTTATTGTAACCATAAATACTGCTGTGGGAGGTAATGGAACTCCCCACCTGACTCCCACCACTTGCACAATCATTTTCCAGTAATTGTAAAATTTGCTTGGGGAGAAATTTTGAAGACACTTAAGATAAAACAGATGTTAACTAAAAGCCTGGCTGGTAGATACTCAATAAATATTCATTGAATGACTAAGGGAATATGTTATTGAATAGTAAATGAGAGTTTTTAATTATGTTTAAAAACTTAAGTGGTTACAAAATTTTGCACTTCCAAATATTTCTTGGAATGAAATGTTTCTCTCATTGCCTTAGAAATATATTAGCTGCATAATCTTGTGACATGAAAGAGTAATCAGCGTCTCTAATTTCCAACCCATTGCATAGGCTCATTGAGATCATCTAAGTCATGTCTGGATAGGTCAACAGACTTCGGTTTTTGTTGGTTGTGCATTTTGCACGAACACTGGATGTCTAAAAAAGAGTGGGGAGAACAACAATGTCTGAAGAAACTATACTTTGAAATGATACTTGCACTACTTTAACATGTTATTTTGGAAATAGTTAAATCTTATAGGATTTTCATAGCATTTCCTTAAGTGCGATCCTCGGACCAGCTCTGTCGTCATCAACAGTGACTCTGGGGCACCACCTGAGCTCTACACTACATCGGATTTGAGAAAACTGGACTTCTGGTGGCCCACTCTGACAATGGCCAATTATGTCACCCTGCACAGACCACTTCCCCTCATTGGACCTCCATTTTACTCTAACAATAAGGAAGTTAAATGGGATGAATTAAGGTTCCCCCCTCGCCCTGAAATAGAATTCAAACACTAGCATGTGTCTTTAAACAGGTATCACTCATTCACTAATAGGTGCAGTAATACCTGCCTAAATATGCCAGCCAGGTGGAAAGAGCAATTCGGTCTGCATGTGTCTGAGGTTTCATTGCTTTGAAGTTGGGACTCTCGCTTCTCTGCCTTCTTCCTCCTGCCTGTGTAGAACCCACCAACAAGCACCAATTCTACAAATGGAAATGGACTTTTTCACTGGTGTTCCTTCAGAGCCCATATACTCTGCAAAGGGACTATTTTGGTAACTATTTTTATGTCACATTAAATATAAATTGGAGAATTTTTTGACTTTGGAACTAAAATATTTATAGTTTTTTTAGACTGGATATTTTATTGTATAGTGACTTTTAGTCCTATTGAAGATAATTTAGTGTGTTTGTTGTCAAAGCTTAGGTTAGGTTGTAATTTTGTCAGGAAGAAATTAGATACCAAATGAAAGATAATCTTTGAATTTTAGTAATGTGCTACTCAGTACTTAGTCTCTTTATCTGGTTATAAAAGCCCAGTCTACAACAATGAGATTCAATACATTTCTGTATGACAGTATTAGCATCTGTTTAATATCCAGTAAATGAGCTGTTTCTTAGAAGTAATAGTAATGTTTACTGACAGCTAACCCTGCTGTGTCTAAACAAAAGAAATACATGTAAGAACACTACCAATGTGTAGTATTAGTGAACAGTAAGTTTCTGAAAGGAGGGATCTAACTTTTAATTCTAGGTTTCTAAGTTATGTAATTTAGTTGTGTTTCATAAAAACAAGAACCTTGACTATGTTTTTCACCTCTGAAAGCCTTAGTACATAGCACACAGTAGATGCTCAATAATTTAAAAAATTTCTCTCTGAGTCAAAATACAGGGAATGTGGTGAAGAGTGTCTCTCACAAACTATTTTGCAAGACAAAGTTGAGAAACAACTAAATTCACAACTTTCCCTTTTAAGAGCTATTGACAATTTTGTGTCTTAATTTAAGTTATGATTTTTTAAAACAAAGATATTCTTTTCACTAAGTTTAGACTAGATTATGCCTAGGTAGTTTGTATTGACATTGCTTCAATAATAACTGACATTATGGGAGTGCTTAGTAAATATTTGTTAATTAATAAAGGGGAATGCATCAATGAAACTTCTTTGTTATCTATAGTGGGGCTGAAATGGTCAGAAAGTAATGAGTGACTTTCCTCACAATTTCAAAAAAAAAATCACAGGGGAGACAAAATAAGAAAGCCTATAAAAATGGACTTTAACAAATACCATATGATCTCACCTTTAGATGGAACCTAATCAACAAAACAGACAAGCAAGCAAAATATAACCAGCGACACTGAACTTAAGAACAAACTGACAGTAACCAGAGAGGGGGCAGGAGAGGATAATGGGGGGAAATGGGGAAGGGTTTTCAGGAACAACTATAAAGGACACATGGACAAAACCAAGGGGAGTGGAATCAAGGGAGGGAAGTGGGGATGGCTGGGGTGGGAAGGGGTGGGGGGAAGAAAATGGAGACAACTGTATTTGAACAACAGTTTAAAAAAAGAAAAGAAAACTAACAAAAAATGGACTTTGCAAAGAAAGAAAAAAATTGATCAAAGTGTCCTCTTCCCAGTGGAGTGCTCTCTCAAACACACACACACACACACACACACACACACACACACACACACACACACACACACACACACCCCTTTCCTTTGAAATCCAAGAGGCCACAGGATGAGTTGGGATTGAGTTGATGACTCTGTAAGCAAAGACACAAAGTGGCTGGCTCTTTCCTTCAGCCTCCACCTACTGTATTTGGGGGAGAAAACACTTTAAAGCTTTCCCATAGGGGGTCCGCGGGCAATGGCACCACCCAGAAGTAGAGTTAGCCTGGAAAAACATTACTTGCAAAGGCTAACTATCAGCCTAGGAAGTTTTTCAAGCTCCTCCAATGCCCAAATATTCCTGGTGGCCACCAGTCTTGAGGCTGTGGGTGGAATTTGATGAGCTCCCCTTCCTTGGCCAAACCAAAATAATGTAATATCTGAATAGACAAGGAGAAAATGTTTCCAAAACTTCTCATTCCCAGAATGTCATTGGGAAAGCCAGGGAGACAATAAGCTCCCTGCAGAGCCCCTCTTGAGGGGGTGGATCTATTTTTTTTTAGTGCAGAAGGCAGCCTGGTTTTATAAGCATGATGTGGCTTCTAAAAGAGCATTCCAGAGGCTGGAGATGAGAGAGAATGAACCAGACTATCCACACCTCCTGCATCAGAGTTTCTCAGCATGGAAGACAGCACCACACCCTGTACCCCCATCCCGGGGGTACCACCTGCAGGGAAGAAGGTGGTAAAGTCCCCAAGCCTATCCTTTTATAGAGCAAAAGTCAGGAAGGGTAAAGTGTCCAGAGGAGTTGATACACAGACAAGGAGACACAACTCTGACTCTCACTCACTGCAGACTTGGAATGAATTTTGACCGAATGAAGACAGAATGGAGTAAGGCAACATTTATTCCCTTGGTGATAACATCTGGTATTTATAAAGATGAAAGCCAGGTACCCTATTTTGGTTAGTGGTGCATTCCCAGGTGACACTATTTGTTGGGAACCACCCTGCCTGGTTTTAGGAGCTGTAACTGCCCCCATGGCTAAGGCTGAGTGAGTGACCTTCAGACCATAAGCCACTAAGGAAACAAAGCTCATCTCCCTGGCAGGAACTCCGCTTCTGCTCCTTTTTCCATAACTGGCCTCCAATGCTTGGTTGGTTAGCCAATGATGGGTAAGATTCCCAAAGAGGGGGAACGACCTAAGACAGGCACGCTCACCTGCAGGCCCCAGGGAAGGACTTGGGGGGCTATGGAGAAAGGGGGTGATGGACCCTCACTTTTCGGCTTTGACAAAGCCTGAGTCTTCATTCTGTCTGTGAGAAGTCTCCTAATCTCTTGGCTGCCTTACTCCCACTGCCTGACTTAAGCCTGAAACAATGACAGAGGGCGGTGCAACCCTGTGCTGCAAAGGGTGGGCTCCCTGGGTGATCAGGCCTAAGAAAGAATACATAAAATCCTGTGAAACCTGCTTTGCTAAGAATGCTCTCAATTAAATGATAAGGGTTCAAGCAGGAAATGAGTTTGTTTCCCAAAGTTATACCCTGACTCAGAATAGGCCCTCATAGTTCTTTGTATGCTATCTTGCTGCCTGACAATGACTAATGAACTTTACCTGTATTCCTGTGCAAATTGAAACCCAGTAAAAATCTGTCAAGGCAAGGGTCAGGGCCCTCTCCTTTTGAGGGAGTAGCTGTGCTGTCCCTTTTCCTCCACAGGACTCAGTAGTCCATGTGAATTTGTCTCATATCTCATCCATAACACTGCAGATGCTGCAGGCTGGTGTCTGTGTCAACTATTTGAGATGGATGAAGTAGCATCTTTGAAGAGCACTGCTCTGACAATCTTGATTTAAATGCTGGTTTTCCATCAAGCTGAACCTACCTGGAGAGAGACTTTCAAACTCTCAAGTCTCAAATTCCTGTCTGTAAAATGTGGAAGTGTCATGCCTACCTCATAAAATAGTCACAAAGATCAAGTAATATCTTGTGTGTATAGAAACCTCTCAATAATTTTTAGTCATATCTAACAATTTAGGATGGATATATGAGAAGGGAGCCAACTCTGTGGGAGAACATATTTGCCAATGATATTTCAGACAAGGGTTTTATATAAAAAATATATAAACAACTCATACAACTTCAACACCAGGAAGACAAATAATCCAACTGAAAAATGGGCAAAGGATCTGAATACACATTTCTCCAAGGAGGGCATAAAGATGGTCCATAGGCATATGAAAAGATATTCCATATCATTAGCCATCAGAGAGATGCAAATTAAAAACCACAATGAGATAGCATCTCACACCAGTCAGAATGGCCGTAATTAATAAATCTACAAACAAGTGTTGGTAAGGGTATGGAGAAAAGGAAACCTCTGTGCACTGTTTGTGGGAATACAGACTGGTGCAGCCACTGTGGAAAACAGTATAGAATATCCTCAGAAAACTAGAAAAGTGGAACTACCTTTTGATTCGGTGATTCCACTCCTGGGAATATACCCTAAGAATACTGAAAATCACCAATTCAAAAGAATTTATGCACCCCTATGTT